CCTCTCTCAGATTTGTTCATTTTGTAATGATATCTTTAATTCTCTAATTTTGGTGAATATTTTTGTCATTTTTGGTAAAAAGTGATATTTTCGACTTCTTGTTGAAAACCGCAAGTCCAATTGCTTTGATATTACATATATAGGTACTACATGTGGACCTCTCTCAGATTTGTTCATTTTGTAATGATATCTTTAATTCTCTAATTTTGATGAATATTTTTGTAATTTTTGGTAAAAAGTGATATTTTCGACTTCTCGTTGAAAACCGCAAGTCTGATTGTTTTGATACTATACATATTGTTCATTTTCTAATGATATCTTCTGTTCTTTAATTGAAATGTGTATTGCTAACAGCGGAGCTATCTCAGCCGAAAGGCTGCTTGTTAATAAATACTATAATTTCAATTTCATCTTCCTAACATTGGGTTTAAAGGGCGGCAGTCGTCATGCCACGTCTTGTTCAATACGTGATTCATAGCGACATATATACCCATGTAAAATACATTGTTTATTTACATGAAATTCGAACACATGCTACGTGATGACCACCACGCTTTAATTTTAGTAAATCTGATAGCGTGGGAATATTCACAATGCTACAAAGGAACAATTTATACTGCATGGAATGTTATTGTTCTACATGTGTTTAGTTCTTCTAATAAAGTATGAACTCAACAATATCGGTAAACGGTTTCATCTTTATTAGAATCCCGTTCACAGAAATATAGACTGCACAGCTCCAGAAAACACACGGAGCATGTGACACAAAGTACTGCACATGCGAAGTTCACTACAAAATGGTCAACTGGATGTATACCGCAGTGCATGCTAGAGGGTTTACCCCATTGCATGCTGGGAGTTTGCACACACTATGTAGATCAAAACATATTATATTATTATTATATAATAACCAAGCTTGAAAAAGAAATGTTTTTATCATTTCTATGCAGTTCTGTACAAGCTTGCCCTATAATGCATACCTGCACGAGTCTTTTATCATCTTTCTTAAAACTGGTCTCACATCCACATGTGTGGGTACAAGTTTATAAAGGAAACAATACAATCTGCAGTTTATCTTCGCATATTTACAAGGTTTTGATTTGGCGTATTATAATTATCAGAGAAATAATTAAGTCCTATACGGTAATCAGGTATTATAAAAGATTTAGGAGTGCACAACTTCATTATTAATAAACCCCCAAAAAAAGAATTTTAATTTCATTATGTTTTTTTAATAAAGAATATTTTTATTAGTATTTATTATTTACTCAACCTGTATACAATCAGAGGTACATTACTTGGGGTTTGCAACTCGCATAGTACTGTATGGTGACATCATGTCAAGATCCCATTCAAGTCTCTTATCGTAGATAGCGAGACTGAGGCTACGACCTTCTGACATGACACATATCAATGTTCAAGGTTTGTAATGAAAAAATAAAACTTTTCTTGTCACTATCATAGTGAAAAATGTAATACATCGAAAATGTACAGAAAATATAGTTCTCGTAATCCGTC